ATATTTTTAATTGTTTTTAGCTTTATCGTTTGTTTTTCATTTAAATGTTAAGTTTTGAAATTTTGTTGTATGCATTTGTCATTTTTATTTAATCTCTTTATTTTTAAAATGTGTATAGGTAGTATTTATAAAGTTTTAGCTTTTCGTTTTGGATCTGTTTTTAGTTGTTTTAATACTACAATTGATTGCTTCTGTTGTCCTCATTTGTAAGTCGCTTTGGATAAAAGTGTCTGATAAATGACTAAATAAATAAAATAAATTTACATTTTCCATTACCCATATGCGCAAAGTTTGGTGAAAAAGGAAAATGAAAATTAAATTATGTAATTTACATTTGCCATTTTCAACAGTAGTCTTAATATGTAAATTGCATGCTAATTTTAACTCTTTATAAGTTGCGAAATGAAAATGAAAATGTATAACCCAAATTTACTTGATACATGTAACATAATGGTAGCAAAATTATCATTTAAATGCTATTTGTCCTAAATAATATTTCAGGCCACTCCAGAAAGATTTAGATCTGCAGGTAGGTAGAGAAAGGTTAAAATCTCTGGTTAGTAATAATACTCTGGGCATTGAGAAAGTTTAAACTAGCAAAATTAAGTGATAAACTAGTTTTTTTAAATTTAGGATTCCCCTAAATTAACATTTCTTTGTATAAGCTAACCCTACTATCTATCTGCTAATGTGATGTTCTTACAATGGTTCAGACTCGGGTGTGGACTCGAGTCACATGACTTGCGACTCGACTCGACATAATTAAAGAAGACTTGAGACACGACTTACTGTATGCCCAGTTCAGACTACACGATTTTAGCCCAATTTTGCCACGCTTTGATTGACGTAGGGTGTCGTGGGGATTCATAAACGACAATGGGCGTCGGGACGCAAGATTCCATCGTTTCAGCTCATGTAGTGTGTCATAGTGGACGACAACCGATTCCGCATCTGCGATGCTTCACGATATCACGACAGAAAGACTAGCATGTTTAATTTTTTTTCCCGTCGTCCACGACTAGTTCTGTCACATTCTGAAGTCAGTCGCTAGTTCCGCCTTCTCGATGACATCACGCGTGTCGTTAACGACGGCACGCGGTGAATGGTCGGGAAGCAACGTGTAGTCTGACATGTTTCTTGTCCACGCCACGACAAGATTTTAGGAGTCAAAATCGTGAAATCTGACACAGTGACTATCTTAATGACAAAAAGACAAAAATATTGTGTAGTCTGAACCCGGCATTAGACTTTGACAGCAATGACTCGAGACTTGACTTGGACTTGAGCGCTGACTCGGAAAGACTTCATGATCAGATCAGAGTTGTTATCACTCTCGTCGGGTCGCTGCAGCGTGTATTTGACTATAGTATCTCTGCTCCTGACAGCGCTGCCCTGTCCGTTTGATCGCTGCCCAGCAGACACACTGGACACGGGCATGAGAAACGAGAGGCGCGGCCGCGATCACTGGTGCTCGCCTCATCATCACCGTGACATATTCCTCACTTCTTTTGTTTGTCCGACATCTGCATCCTGGGAATCCCGCTGCAACCCTCGCACTCTGACAGCGCAATGTGCTTTAATTTTCATTTTTAAACACCTCGCTGAGGCCTGTTTTTGTCAGACCTCTACAGTTTTGTTCAGTCAGTCACATATTTTAATTGCATGTGCATTTCATTTTATTTAAACCTCTATTAAGTTAACCCTTAATTGAGATTTAAATCTGAGTTTAAAGTTATGGTGCAACAGGACTAAAGTTAATCTTAAATATAACTTAAATCCATGATCAAAATGATTTGTTAAATGTAAACCTGCTTATTTTTAAACAAGGTTTAAAGTTTGGTGCAACAGTATTATTAGATAAATCCTTGCAAACTAGGCTTCTAAAAATTGCACATTAGGCAAGCGGCAATATGATCCTTTAAAATAATTTGAATTTAATTATTTCTTTCACCAAATGAGCATTGTGTATGTAACTATTAAATATAATAAATTTTCTCCCTTTTTCACTTTCATTTCTTTCAGGATAAACGAATGAATTCAAGTGTTGTAAATCCAGTCTGCAGCACATATAGCCCCTAAATTTAGCGATAAGCTATGCACATTATAAACTTAACATTTAACATGCAACGTTCAACAACACTTTAACATTTATTTACATATATTTGAGAATCTGAATATCAAATTTTTTGCTTTTTTGCGGCAATCATACAGCCAGTGTCACGTGACACTTGATATGTCGTCATAGACATAGGAATGAAAATCCTTCAAAAATTACAGCAATACAAATATAATAATTTAACTGGGGGCTCAACATTTTTAACTTTCGTGTGAAAAAATGTGTAGCAAATCACATTAAATTCCTCATGAAAAAGTTCATTGTAAAAAAAACTTCAATGTAAATCTGCATTTCTCAGTCAACCAATCAGCTTTCACTAAGTAAGTTTGAAGATCGCGCGTTCAACAGTTCGGACA